TGATGTCCGTCTACGAGGTAGCATGTCAGGGTCAGGGAGTTTTCTTGGAGCAAGAGGTGGTACATATCTCGCTGGTTCAGCAAGGAATTTTTCTAGATCAGCTCGTGTTCCCATTTTATAGTAGCGAGCACGGAATTCAGCCGCGAATTCTAGTGATGGATTGGTAGAACAGTCTACTAACTCTCCACGGTCTGCTAGGCTTACTGGACAATACTGACCAAAGTCACCAAGACGAGATAGGAGCTCAGTTTGTGTTATACACATGTCTGCTATGGATGCACTTTTTCCTGATAATAGCATCACAGGAAATCCAGTTATTTTTTGCATAGAATCAATTTTGTACGAGTGGGAAACGTACTGTAGAAATTACCGCACAGTTACCGAACCTGGCCTGCGCAATTTTTGTGAAGCAATGAGACACTAGAATTTGGTTACAGTATGATTACGGTTACAGTACAGTACCGTCCGTTTCCCACTCATACGAAATTGACTCTAAGAATAATTCGTAAAAGTAAATAAAAATGAGATGGCCGAAAAAAAATGAACGAGAAATGGACTTACCAGCACTAATCCTGTCCAGATAGATCTGTATTTGTTTGACTGACTTTCTCGATTCATCTAGAGCCTCGTTCCAGACCCACCATTTAGACCGCTGGCCATTTAACAATACCCAGTTACGATGTTGATCTCGGTACCATTCCCTCACGGCCCCTACTTCCTGCTGCCAACAGTTTAGTCTAATGGCAAGTATCTGATGGCTGTCATGCAATGGCAACGTTCTACAAGAAAAACAAATATTTCCATCACTGAATTGCCCTATCGCATAATGACGTCACACCAAAACATTCTATTGTTTTAACGCTAAGGATCATGGTCGCCAGAGGGGATCAGAGTGACTGCATATTGAGAAATGATGTACATCAAAACTCGATAAACTAAAGTTCTACTTTTGGATAGAGTGTTAATAGGTCTAAATTTCGAGTCCTTCTAAGCATCTATCCACAATATAAACATACTGTGACGTCATTATGCCATAGSGCAATTATGAATATGCAAATTGCTATATTCAGAGAAGCAATGAGCTATGCGCTTTCTTCACAGAAACGCCACTACTGATGGAATGTTTTAGCGGGTATAAAAAGGACAAGACGTCATGTCCCATCATACTTTGTGGAACAAATTGACGATGCTGCACTTTGCTGATTTACAGTGGTTTTTAGTGAATGTCAGAAAGTACGAATCACGCATTAAATAATAAAATATACATTTACAAGCTAAATTAACCAAACATCTATTGGGGTCAGGTCGCAGCGCCAAAGAACATTGCTGGTAGGCAGAGTGACAGAGTGACTCCAAAGAACGAGGCATAAACAACAGAGCCTTTTGTTCTAGCCAGCCAATCAAAATGACTTTTATTTAGAGCTGCGAGACCTCTGATCTATTCCTTATTTGGGTTATGATGATTTTACAGAAKATTAACAGATGAATGACTTACCTGGACGGATCATGTCGATCAGCCATTCCTCGTCTAAGMACCTCTTCATCGTCCACCTCAAGCTCTATGACTTTGACGGGGATAATTTTTCTTTCTGTCATCAATTGGACTTGTTTGATAGTTAACGGATATCCGTCAAGGATAAACCTAACGAAATATAACAACTGGGATTAACAACTCCGATTAACTTTACCAGCCATTGTTACAGAATTCTTACGGAATTACATGAAGCCTGCGTAGCATGAGAAACCGATGAAACGAATTTCATGAACTGTTAAACTTACGTGACAATTTTGAACGATCACTTCAGTCATGTGACATTGAGTAAAAAAATAAGGATTTTAGGCAACGAAGCAAACTTAAAATATCAAGATGTCACGTGATCGACGTTTTCTTTTAGGTGTAGACTTCTGTTTCACGGATTGTTGGCTTTACTCTATCAAAATGAGCCTCGTAGTATGCAGTCCTATTGTTAGGATTAATAGACACTTAAAGCATGAAAAGGTAGCTAATTAAAGAGCGCTACAGAATTATTTGTTTTGTTCTGATCAAGACTATTACACGCTATTGCGCACTATTTGGCTAGTTCTATTTCACGCTTTTAGTGTTTGCATTCTATGGAATGGTTCCAAGCTTTACCCTCTAGTTTGACATTGCATATCAAGTAAGGCAATCTCCAATGACTGAATTGCTAGTTCATCAGGCACAGTACTTCCAGATCTCAGATGGGCATTGATTTGTCTGGCAATCTCCGTATGCTTTTGGTTGTCGAGAACTCGACGGATTGCTTCGCCAATAGACAGACGAATGACACCGAACTCTGACGCAAATCGTTTGGCAACTGAAAATACAATGCTATACATTAGATTCCAGCTATMTATGACTACAAGAGGATGGTAAGAGAATTGATTTGTGATCTAGCTGWATAATGATAGGGAGAAACATACAGCCCAACATGTCGTCCTGGAAAATCTTTGCCTCGGATCATATCCAAACAAACTGATTGAATACAATAGACCTCTGAAGCTTTTACGTCATSTACCGTATACGCAATGCATTGTAGGATATGTTTGGGACAGAATATAGCGGATTTCGTTTGTTTTTATCTCTCTCTAGAAACTGATCCCACAATGCATTTTAAAAAATCAAGTAGTGATATAAAAGATTCAGAAGTCTATTGTCACTTGATGAACATAAAACTATTGGTACGTTAAGTTTGTATCCTAGTTCATCCTGGGTTGCCCTATAATTCTAAATAGATCCTTTGATAAAATCACCGCCGCTCATTAGCGTAATTTATTTTCAACGCAACACAAAATAACCCCTGAAATAYTAAAAAATTCCTTACTTAGAAGTTTCTAAAATCCTAGTACGTTCCAATGKAAACCTGCCGTGATATGATTTTTTCAAAAGGGAAACAGCTAAGAGAAATGTATGTCTGGGAGAATAAGAACCACCCATCATTTTATGTAGTCAAAAAAAATATCTCCCTCTGCATTTTCAGGGGAACCCACTAAGCTTTTGCTTCCAAGTAAGTTTTTCTTTTAAATTTTCCATTGTTTCTTTTGCATTGGGTCAACTAATGAGCCATTCTGGCAAAGGGGCTATTTATGCTAGCAGCCCTAGTTGTTTATGAAAAACAAGGAGCTAGTTTCCAGAAAGACAAATAGCTGTTAACAAGGTGTAAACAGGCATTATGYAACGACTGCATTGATCGTTTTCAACCATTCCAATGAGATTTAAAAGATAAAAGACCGGCGGCCATGTTGGAGGAATTAACAATATATACTAATGAGAAATCYTTTGTTAAAGTTCCTCCAAGATGGCCGCTGTGACGTAAACGAGGGTACTTACGTGCTGTTTTGCCTGATTTCGGTGGTCCAATAATAGCAATACGAATGGGTACAACAGGTTTAGGCGATGGCTGGCTGAGGTATTTAGTTGGGTGTTGAATGAAAGCATCACGTGAATCATCATTACAGCAGAAATAGATATGCTGTCGATAGACCACTGGACATGGGTAATACAGACCACCACCCCCTCCGTACTGGGGTTGAATCACCTCCCCTTCTAGCAACTAACAAACAAAATTGTACATTAGACTATTATCCTACACGAGTTTGTAAGGTTTCTTGTGATTGGAGGAATACAGCTCTGCAGCTGATGGTAAATTGTATTCAAAACCATCAAGATTAAAAATACAACTCAACTCCTTCTCTAGATCAGGTACCAGATTCTGGAACTCTTTTACCCAAATCAGCCAAGGACAGTCAAAAATTTTCATTAAAAAAAAAAAGATACGTAATACTCTTTTTTCTATGCTTATACATGAAGAGAGCTATTTTGAAATTGGAAGAGCCMCACAGGTCTTTTCAAAATATTATTTACCAAGTGAATCTTGATCAAATTGTTCCAACTACAAAATATACTATACTTATCAACATTCTCTATCTATTTCAATTTAATGGTGCTGCCTTCAGTTTGCAAATAGTTTGTAAATAATTTAATTTAATTTGAATTTTGTACTTTTATCTGACCTTTTAAACTTGAACAAGTGTATTGGAAGTAAATATATACATATATAATCAGTGACCTGCCTTAGAATAGTTTTAACTAGTTGCAGGTCACTGAAATCCACAAATGTATCTAATATATAAGAATATATAGTAATAAATTGAAATTGAAATTGAATACAACAATGCCCATTGTTTGGCCTCGTGCTTTCTTTTATTCAGCAAATAGCTAGTACAATCGGATAAGATCTTACAAAACCGTGAAGGCCTACCTAGATTAGATTCTCTCTTTACTCCGACGAAGGGTTAACGTCCGAAACGTCAGTAAGTTGTGTTAAATATATATATTTTTACACACAACTTACGTGTCTTTACGACCGACGCAGCTCACGCTAATTTACCGCTAGTCCGCCATTTTTACCCAGATTAGACCCACGTTTAAGCGGGAAAGAGGGGAGGAAAGTCCACTCTGTAGATGGCGGATGTTTATCAACGGACAAACGGACAAAAAGTGCAGTCCTTTTTTGAACAGCTTACCTTGACAGGGCACCAGCGTCCAAACCTACTGGGGTACTTATAACCATTAGCTATCATACGATTGGCCAACAGTGTATCGATGGGAAAACAGCGCTCAAATAGACAATCCCTGTGATCTACTACAGGTTGAATGGCTCTTTCAACACAGAATCGTACAATACGAGGTTTACGGCCNAGCGGAAAAGCACTTTAAGATCAAAGAAAGCTGTGTGGTTCGCAAGTGGCGATCAAAAAGAGAACAGTTTATTTTCTGTCTTTTTTTTCCCTCAAAAACGCCCCTAAAACTCGGGGTGCGGCTTATCTACGAGAGCGGCTTATTCATTGTGTAAATACGGTACCTCAAAATGAAGAAGTCGCGATGGAACAATTTTCAATGTAATTAGCAACACTTCAAAAAGTCCCTGGACCTGATCATTGCCAGGATTATATCACTGTCATCACCATCATTTCATGATGCCCAATGATAGTTGTCCCTGAGGTTGGTATTGTCTTATTGAATCATTCTAACACCCCTATTATCAGGCATATTAGGCTAGCATATTAGCCAAATAATTATCTGATGGACAAGCAAATTATAATACTTACAGGATATTCTATTTCATCTTCAAGATTAGATTCTCCTTCATCTTCTTCAGCATCATCATCATCACCATCTTCCTCTTCCTCCCCAACAGCATCAAGATTGATCTCTTGGTGATCAGGAGAGTATTCACTCTTAGTGTACACTATGCCTGTGAGGGGATCAAGCTTTTGATCTYTTCTTCTTGATTCAAGATCTTTATCAGGGATCTAGGTAAACAGAGGATATTGCATGAATGGAGGTTAGGATATCATCATTTTACTAACACTATAAAATCATAAATTCAGGTCAGCATCTGTACCTTAATACAACATTAGATGATCAAATTCATTATTTAAATTTATATGGTAAACACAATGGAAAATTATTCCTCCACTGCATCTTAATATGAGCAAGAGATTTGTCCTGATTTGCAGACGACTCTCACTTATTGTTTTTTTTTTCTTAAAAATGATAATTATCTTAATTTAATCTTGAAGTTTTAAACAAAATATTGTGATAAATCAGAACAAAAAAGTGACATGCAACAATTGGTAAAGGAGTCTTTCTTGTCTTCTGGTGTATGATATTTACAAAATAAATGGAACTGAACAGATTCTACAGTGAGACATTTTTCTTGGACATTACAACATACAGCCAAGTGCAAGTCACTTTGCCCCCCTTGTAATGTTGTGGTTGTGTCCATTTTATGATAATGTTAAGTATGAATATATGAGGCTAAATGTATACATTTAGCCTCATATAATCATACTTAACATACATTTAAGGCTAAGTTAAAATCCAGCACTTTAGCCCAATTACGTAGCTGGCTTGCATGCGTTGGCGTGACGGATGTGCGTGACTAGAAGTGCTCATTGCATGTGCGGCGCCCATCAATTGCTTGCAGGGCCACGTGGTGTTGCTGCTTGCTTGCTTGCTTGCTATTCATCGAAGCGTGTGCGTGAAAATTCCCTCCCTCCCTCCGCTTGGGTTGGTAAGTATAAATTCCACTGTTTACAGTGTGACAGGTGCCAGGTGGTGGTCCGTGCGTCGTTACCATGGACACGACCTGTCAGATTGGTCTGTGGCATGACCGCCTGGCTCGGCACCTCTGCCCATGAGTTTAAAATTGTGTACAACAACCCTGCAAGTGGGGAGGGGTGGGGTGTCCTCATCAGGTGGGGAGGGGTGGGGTGTCCTCATCAGGTGGGACAGTAAGTTGTGCATTTATTGCTCTGATATTCATCAAAAACTATTATTTCCATTGAAAAGGTTGCAAGTTAGGACATTGATCACCTTGATATTGATGATAAAGTCAGGAGTCAAAGGAAGATTCTTGACAAGTTCCAATTGATCTGCTAGAGAGAGCCACTCTTCTGATAGGGATGGAAAACCATCTAGAATATAACCTGAATAGAAATAGCATCATGGCAAATAGTGTAATAAATACATNTTTTTCTTGGTAAAATTAAAACAATCAATTCTCACCTGTCTTTCTGCTCGTCGTGCTTCTATTTCAGCGAGTTTTTCCTCACGGCGTTTAGCCCTTTGCTCTAACTGTATAAAGTAATAAAAACATTGGAATAAAGACTTCACAGCTCAGTATTTGGTAAACGAAATCAAAGAAACTTCTGAAGAATTGAACGACCGAAAGGTACTATGGGTACTGGTATTTATTGCTTCAATATTTTTTGTTTCGAGATCTTATTTGTGCAGCCTTAACCTCGAAAGCATGTAATATATTCTTTCATTATATAGCACCAAAATTTCTCGCTGCGCTCGGTCCGTACTGTCAAGACCTCGGTCTGAGATTTCCCTGTTATGACCGCGCTCTCGCTTAATAAGTAGTATTTAATTAGCAGAGAATCTATTGTAATGCAAACACTCTGTGTACAAAGAAGACAATAAAAATTTATGCTTGAATCAAGCTAAGCTTGCACAAAAGAGAATTCTAAACTTGAGTATTATAAGAAGATCTTMGAGATTTTCTATCCTCGGAACTCCTTTATTTTAACCCAAACTTGAGCGAAAACTCAACCCTACTGCAATTTCGTTAATACCTTCTCCTGGCGAGCCAAAGCCTTCAATCGTTCTTTTTCCGCAAGTCTCTTGTCTCGTTTCTTTTTCCATTTGTCCAATAATGGCGGCAGTAATCTCTTGACGATATCRTTGTCTTCTACAGCTAACAGTACAGTGGCATCAGGGAAAAACCCATTATTGGCAAGATAACGAGCCTCTAGTTCATTCCTAGGAAAACCTTCTAGAACGAACCCAGTAGAGCTGTGACAGACAGACAAAACTGAATGAGAACAATGGCTATAATAAGCCATAATAAAAWCCCTCTAGCCCATTCCAAGTGAGACTTTACTGCCAATAAACCGCCATTTTGAATTATATTCCCATAGGGAGCGATTGTTAGGTAAGGTTGCGGCCGTGTTGGTAATGACTTTGATACTGATAAATCGGGTGGACTTTCACCACATTAGCAAGATGTAATCCAATTGGTTTATTTAAAACAAAAGAAGAAAACAAGAGACAAAAAGTGTCATCGTTCTTTTAGGAACGACAGCCAATTAGAAAATTCGCAATTCGTTCTAAGAGAGGCGAAGATCTACAATCCTGGACAAAAAGGTTGAGGCTAGACAAACAGAATCCAGCAGGTATGTGTGCTCTCTAAAATACAACTTTGAGTGAAGGGGCACAGGGAGGGCAGAATAAATAGAAAGTATAACATTCAGCGATTTTTAAAGTTTCTCAACTCTTTTTGTCCAGGATTGTACACGATATATCGGTGATGCTTTCACTACTCGGAGCAGCGTATAATTACACACCTGAAGGGCTCTTCATTCCACCATGCTGGTAGAATCTTATCAAGAACCTCGCTAGATAAAGGTTCCCCRTACGATAGGTTGCTCTTGATATTCTCTTCGTCTTCTGTTAGCTCTACTTCAGGCTCTCCTTCTGGCGCATCTTCTTTCGCTATTTCATCGATATCTTTTGGTATGGAGTCTATGGSAACGACACGATAGATTCAAACATTTTTGAATAAAATAATGAAAAGATGTATCAAAATATGAAGAACGAATATATCAAACAAGCAGCCCATGCCGGCACAAAGTGATGGAGTAAAAATTGGAACGATGATTGCGCAAGAGTTATGTGTATTACGCACCTAAGAATGATGTAACAAAGTCACTGGAAACCAATTTACATCATTTTGGAGACTTGCATCATATTTACATCAAATTAACAACCTTTAAAGCGCGCGAATGTTTTTGAGTATCACGGACACGGAGCTTTTGCGGTACAGTGAATGATAACTGTTATTTAAAGCGCAAACAAAACAAAACAAGCAAACAAACAAACAAACAAAAAACAGAAACAGGAGCACTACAGTTATAAATGATGAATGTTCCTTTACCAAGTTCTTCAGTAGGAGTYTGCTCTTCTTCGTCCTCTTCATATTCGGGTCCAATCTTTTTCTTAGTTTTTGCTATGATGAGTTCTTGTAGRCGTTCATTGAAGGAAATATGAAAGAGACCAAGCTTCTGCGCAAGATATCGTCCATGCAGTGTTTTACCAGATCCCTTAGGCCCAATGATTAATAATCGGATTGGAGGTTTCTAAAAAAGGAAAACGTTAAGATTAAAAAATCTGATTCAATTCCTCTATCCTTGATTGCTGAAGAACACACGAGGTTCGACATGTAACAAATTTCCTCTTTCATTATGACTTCACATCATGTTTACATCGGGGAAATATATAAACATCAAAGACATTGGAAATTTGTACCCATTTACTTCAATATATATTGCTAAAGTGTATTTTATTTGATATGTGGTCACTTCTGGCGACCATAATCCTTAGCTTTACAATTCAATGTTTTGATATGATGTCATAAATGCAATTAGACGTTAGTTAACCGCTAGATTCTATCACAACAAAAAGAAAGAATTAATAAAGGTTAAACAATACCTTAAGAGGTTCATCGACGCTCAAAAAGACGTCAGGATCRCTGAGAAACTTTGTTCGTGCTTCCATCGWCGAGAARAAATAAGTCCTTTCACGATACTTGGCTGCAATGTCTGACAAACCAGGCACCAAGACATTGTTTTCCTTTAGCATGACGGGACAATAATGCTTAGAGTCGCCAAATATCTTCTTTCTCTCTCGAGTAAAAGGATCGCCTCCTTCCTCGTCGTCTTCTTCCTCCTCATCTGGRTCTGCATCCTCCTCTTCCTCRTCTTGGTCCATACCGGTGTACTCCCAGGCACGATATTTAAATGGTGCTACAAAAACAAATATATGATATAACGGTTTAAATGGTGCTACAAAAAC